TCTGAGATTCGAACGCCACAGCCACAAACCACAATGCTGGAAACCGCTATTTATTAATCCATTTACTAGAAAAGGAAAGAGAGTGAAATGACGCCAACAAACAAACAAACAAGAAACGAGCATATACACAAACCAACGGCTACTACAGCTTTCCCCTCTACCCCTTTGCTCGCCCTTTCGTTATTACGTTTTGCTGGCTGAAACCAAACGAAAAAGAGAATGAGTGCATCCATAGACGAATCAACTCACAACAAGAAACCTTATAATCCCGAAACCCTAAACCCTAAACCCGTAGGAGTCGCCAGCCCCTGCAGGTCAAAAGTCCAGCCATATTACCCGTTTCTGCGTCAGGTCCTTGATTCTCGTTCTTAGGGGTTTCTGCTGCTGCTGCAGGGGAAGAAGAGGAAGAAAGCTGAGGCCGTTTGGGTGCGGGCTCAAAGAGGATCTTCGGCAGCCTTCTCTGTTGATGCATTTTGTTTTTCTCTCTGTCTTCGTCTTCGTCTTCGTCGCCCTTTTCTGCTGCACTCTCAGCACCTAGAGAGAGAGGAGGAGGAGGAGGAGCGGCGTTTGTTTCGTTTGTTGCAGAAGGTACAGATTGACAAGTGTTGAGGTTATTCTTTGTGGTGTTTGTGTCGCTGCTGTTGTTATTTTTGTTGTTACTGTTGCTTGCTTTTTCTTCTGTATGTATGAGCTGGCTGTGTTCTCTCTCTGGTGATGTATCTGCCTTTGCAACTTCTGCAATTCCTTTGAGGCAGCGGGAAAGCTCTTCCTCGGTGTACACCCGCAAATGAAACACCTCCAGCAGGCAACCCAAAAACAAAACAACCCCACCACCACCACCACCACCACCACCACCACCAGAGGAGTTCAGAGGCAAATGGCTTTCTTTGTCTACACGTACAAACACCGGCCACATACGCTGAAACTCTACCGTTGCAATGTGCTCCCGATCCCTTCGACTAACACCAGTAGCATCAGCAGCAGCACCTGCAGCAGCTGCTGCATCAGCAGCAGCACCTGCATCAGCAGCAGCATCTGCAGCAGCAGCAGCCGCAACATCAGCTGGAGCTGCAGCAGAAACAGCTGGAGCGCCAGTCTCAACAGAAGAAGCTGGAGCGCCAGTATCAGCAGCAGCACCAGCAGCAGCTAGAGCATTAGCAGCAGCAGCAGCAGCAGCAGCAGAGCGTGTCTGCTGATCAGAAATATCGGTGGAGGCGCTGTCTGTCTTTCGTTCCTCCGTTGGTTGTTTATCTACAGATACACAACAGAAAAAAGAGAAAAAAAGAAAACAAAGAAAATAAAAAACACTGCCTCAACAACGCTTCCTTCGAATATCACTCGCTGCCCCACCTCACTATACACCCCAGTATACACTTATCAGTACTTTCGCTTAAACCCTAAACCCTAAACCCTAAACCCTAGTCGACTAGACAAGCCATTGCTCACCTGTGTCACCGGGGGGTTTTGTTCGTGGCGCGTTGCGTGTTTGTTGTTGTTGTGTGTTTTTCTTTACAGGAGGAAATGAAATATCTATTTGGGTGCATGCATTCATTTGTCTGAGTTGTGGTGGATGTACACTCCGTACAAATCGAATACAACTAATATCTCCATCTAACTCCCAAGGTCTTGTATCTGTTTGTTGTTTGTTGTTTTGTTTCTCTTTTTCTCTGTTATATTCTATTTCATCTTTACGGTTGTTTCTTTCTCTCTCCTCTTTCTTGTCTCCTTTCTTTGTGTCTGTTTTGTCTCCTCTCTCCTCTCGTTGGTTGTTAGGGTTCTGTATTCGCTCTGTGTTGTCTCCTTCATTTGTCTCCTTCTCTTCTCCCGTTTGTCTCTCTTTTGCTTCTTCCTTTTCTTGCTGCTCTTCTCCCTCTCTCTGCTGCTCCTCTGGCCCCTCGTCTGAGCTCTCCTCTAGCAGCGCCCACAGCGACGGCGGTTGTTGCGAGTTGCTGCTGCTGCTGCTGCTACTGCTGCTGCTGCTACTGCTGCTGCTGGTTGTGTTTGCTTCTGTTGTGCTGTATGTTGTATGTTCGTGGTTTGGTTGTCCCGTTTGCTTGTTTTTGTTTTTTGTTCTGTCTGTACACCCCAGCCACTTCAGTTTCTCCCATTCCTTCCAACAGCAATCCACATTTAAACCCTTAAATAAACTCTGCCAATCGAACGGTCTACCCCATCCCTTCTCCTCTTTCTTCTTCTTTATCAGCTCCTGCTGCTGCTCCTGCTGCTGCACCTGCTGCTGCTGCTTTTGTTGCTCCTGCTCCTGCTGCTGCTGCTGTTGTTGCTCCTGCTCCTGCTGCTGCTCCTTTTGTTGCTCCTGCTGGTGCTGCTGCTGCTGCTGCTGCAACCTCTGCTTTTTCTTTCTCTTGCTAGCCATTTCGGTGCATGCATCAGCAGCAGCAGCAGCAGCACCATCATCCGTGCCGTCTTCGTGTTGTTGTTTGCGTTTGCTTTCTCCTCCTCTGCTGCCTCTCCCTATCTCCTCTGCTGTCTTCGTTTCCTCTAACCCCAAAGCTCGAGGCCGAATACACCCACACCGGTGATAACCCCAACACACAACTCGACGCCGGCGACTCCTCTTGGCTCGCTGGCCAGACCAGTACTCCTACACACACACACACACACACAAT